CCCCCTCTGTGGTGAGCGGGATGACGGAGCCTTCGAGAACCCCTGAGGTGGTCGGGGCCATTGCTCACCACACTTCCGGCAGACAAAGCCTTCCCGCACCTTGTCCGACCAGATCCAGTTGAAGCACCCTCCACCGCCGCATACTTGATAAGCTCTGCACCACTTGCCGCCTGTAGTCATGGATCACCTTGCCCTTTCCGATCAGGCCGAAGAAGGGTTCAAGGAGGTAGGCGATCGTGCCGTCGAGCTCACCCGAGTACAGTACCCGGGCTTGAGGCTAAAACGGCTTGAGCCCCCCCCCCCTGTGATCACCTGTGTATATAAGCCTGTATAGTATATATAATAGGTAGGATAGTCTACGATAATCATGATTCAATTCTTCAAAGATCTTCAGATTGTTTACATGTGTCCCGGCTTTTGAAGGAACAAATACCATTCATGAAACTCAAGACACCACTTGATCATCCGAAGACCATGGTTAAACCCTGACACGGTTTTGCTGGACGTGACTCCTGTCTCTTCTTTGTTCTGAAAACCACTCCGTATACCGAACTCCACCTTCTCCACCCCCTGGTTCGGGCCTGAAAGTGGTCTCCTCACCTGGCAGTTCCGAACTGGATCTCCACTACCCCTTGTTACTAGTAGCTTCTTCTACCAGTAGGTACTAGTAGTAATGCGCTTGTTACTAGTAGCGCTGCTCTTCTGTAAAGAAAACCACCACCTTTTGGAGGAAAGTGGTCGTAAGACTAGCTTTCCTGGACACTTCTATGTTCTCTCCCAGGCTTCTTCGGGTACGAAACAGGCTTCCGCGTCATGCCAGAGCCCACAGACGTCGGCGTCGACCGTCCGAATCGACTGCATTGGACCACACGAAGCACAGCACGGTCTGGTTCGGCCCCCAGGCACCACCGTACGAGCCAAGGAAGTGGAAGTCATGACAAATCAGTGCCATAACGAATCTGAGGGTCATTTTGAGCTCAAACTCCCAGATTCTATAGAGGATATTGGGCAGAGGATGCCATAACTATGAATCACTTACAATATGGGAAAACTAGAAACACCTTCCAGAAAAGTGAGCCCACGTTGCCCAGAAAACACTGTGACGAGCGATGCATCACAAACACTGCGACGAGCGAAGCCGGAGAAAGTCGCATAACTTACATCATGTGTGCCATTACTTCAATTGATTCACACACCAAAAAAAATCCAAAAGTTTGAAGTATAGGGGCCATTACTTCTAAAAAGTGAATCATACTGGTTCGGCTAATACTTGCTTAAAACACACACACACACACTCCAAGGTCTTGTGTCCAAACCTCCAAGGTCTTGGACTCTGATCCTTCGACTTCCTCCAAATCCACGGTGACTTTGCCTTGGAAGAACGACCCAACACCGGAGAAAACGACTGCTCTCTGCAACCATCGCACCGGCGCACGGTGATTTCTGCCAAGCTACCAAGGGAAGTCTTATCTTCTTGGATGACTTCCACAGTGACTTTTCCACCTGCAACAAAGCTTCTGCTACTCCACCATCTCCACCAAGCGCGATGCAGTCCGTGAGACTTCAACATCACTCTCTTGTCCTGCCTGGATATTCAAGGAGTCTATGGAAGGACTGGTACCAGACCTCACGTCGACGCGAGTATAAGGGAAGTCGAAGCCACGAGCACGCACGAGCACTTTGCACGAGAGAGAGAGAGAGACGTCGCTCCATCAAGCTCCCAACCACGTGCAAAGTACGTTGCATCTCGACCAACAATTGTACTTGTGCTTCCGCCAGTCCTGCGAGGCAGAGTGGAAGACTCAGAGTGGGTCATGAAATATGTAATTCATATTGGAACAAGGACAACCATGGACCATCAGCCAAACATCGCAGGTGCTGAGAACTACCTCATGCACACAGACACTCAGCGAAAAAGATCATGCACAAGTCAGCCACAGTCGACTTGGCTTGATGTTTACAATATATGTTTACCCAATTTGGCTGACCATGGCTGTCCAGGTCACTGACGCCACCCTGACGTTCATTTAAGTAGTAATGCCAGGAGCTACTACTAGCTTCTTGCTTACTAGTAGTGATGGCCTCCAACCTACTGAAGTTCAAGTTCATCCCCACCTGAGATCTCTGCAATTTCAGCAAAGCTCATCTTCCGGTCCTGGGCGACAGGACGCCTCTTCCGCGCGTTTTTTTCGGACGGTTGAACGGAGAACGGAGGACGTGCCTTGGCAAGCCGTTCGATCATGAGCTGGGCATGTGCGCTGACGTTGTTCATGTAGCTTCCTGACAGTGAAAAGCCCACAAGTTTGACAACAGACACAAGCCAAGAGCAAGATTGGTACAGTAAGCAAAATGCTGTGAGGCCCCTCTTTGATTCAGGAGGAAAACAATGGAACCACATGAAAACACGCCAATAGGTCAATAGTCTATAGTTAGGCGTTTTTCCTGCCTTTGGGAGCTACACCTTGAGCTGCACCCCAGGCTCGTGCCTTGCGGGGGGTCACAAGCGTGGAGGATTTCTCTCATACCAATCGGAGGGTGTTCTGCCATTGTGTGTGTGTGTGTGTGTCACAAGTGTCTGCATGTACTGAGAGTATCAGCTGTGGATGGACGTCCCCGATCGGACGGCCCCCTGGGGCCCATGAAGCCGACGTCCTCCGGCCCGTTGACGTCGGCGCGGCGCTGTACGTCCGCGGCCTTCTTGCTCTTCATCGGTGGCTGCTTCAATGTCCCACCACTGGTGTCAGAGAGAGACCTCGGCTCTGGGTGAAAACACACCACACACCACACCGCTGGAAACAAAAGCAAAGAAAAGGTTAACGCTCACAGTGAGTCGGTGTCCCATGCTGAAGTCGTCGTATCGTCCAGGGCCCTGACAGTCTTCGTCCAATGGCTTCCAAGCCTCGTGCTAGAACTCCACCCTGGGGCCGATGGGATCGGATTGTCAATGCGAGATCCAAACGATCTATTTTGCGGGGCTTGCGAGGAGCCGCCCGTCGCGGGAGCGTGGAGCCGCCGCGAGTCACGGGAGCCGGTTCTGCGTCCAAGTGACCTTCTTCTCCTGCGAAGTCGAGGAATCGCTTTTGGGGGGTGAAATCCATATAACCTCAACTAGGATCATTAGGAACCTCCATAATCCAACTTAAATGAAATCCATATCATTCGGAACCATATAAAGGGTGCCTGAAACATTCTAAAGGACCTCCCTCCATGGGCTTACCCTCCCTCTATCAGGAAATGTGTGTTGATGTTGTCATCATGTCGGAGCCTTGAAGAAGTTCTTGGGCGGCGGGCCGGGCTCAATGGTTACATACCTCGATAGCTGTCTGCATCTTCAAACCCCGTCAAAAACCACGTCGAAAATCAGACAGACTTTACTAGCAATGGCCTCCAACCCAATGACCTAATGACCTACTAGCGATGGCCTCCACCCTAGTAGCGATGGCCTCCAACCTACAAGTTCAGGGCACGCAGTCGAATGAAGAAGACTTTCGACGTCCCATTCATCAGGGCTCTCCATGCCCATCAACCTTAGCGATGTTCAGTGTGACACCGCCCCCACATCAGTCCCTTTCTTTTCGCAGCAAGACCTGCAAAACCACCGAAACAAATGTCGAAAGAATTGATCACTCAGATTTGGGGGAATTGCGGTCTGTTCTAGCTTCATCATGTGATGCTGCAAAGAGACCTACACTATCCTACACTCACCATGACAGAACACCATAGGTGTCTCAGCAAGGACCATGTTCTTCGCATCTCTCCGAAGCATTTCACTACAATCAGTCAAGCTTTGGCTCACTCCTGGGAGTTGATTCGTCATGATTCGTCATCGATTTGCCGAAGACAGAGGTCGAACACTAAGGGAAGCCATCCAGCTGCGGAAGCACTGTGTTTCTTGTCTGCGGCTACACAGGGAAAAGGGTCTTTTCCTTCTTGTCGCCTGTCGCCTCCTGAAGGATCACTATCGACTTAGCTCGGCTGATGTTAGCCGGGAAAGCTGCACGTCTCCGACTTTAGTCTGATGTTTCATTCTCAAAGAAAAAGGCACCTAAAAGGCGCACGTCTTGGACCACCCAGTTTTTAGCTTCGTCACCAAGAAGCTTGACTGAGCAAAGTCTCAAGAGTGGCACATAGTCCACAGATAGGCCATGGGGGCCGCCAAACCTCATCCACCCGGTGGGAAACAGAAACGAACCATGGAAGGTCCGGCACCTCACCAAAACCAAGGGGTCCAGAATCGATGGATATCGAAGATGTCCCCTTTTAACCCGGAAGTTCATGTAAGCTTAACTTCGCGAAAGGAGCAACGATCTTCTTTTGACCTGTCCACACCCCTTTCTCCTGACGAAGCACACCAGGACTCCCGGCTGATGAGCGTCGCCCTTGGGCAGCTCCGTCATTCGTTCTATGAGCGGATCTAATTTGACCACCTGCAAGTACTCCTTGGATGGGCTGGCAAAGGCTGCATTTTCCGGTACGAAGCTTCAGGGATAGAAGGGGATAGACTTCAATCCGGTTCCAGTGGCGGGCTACATGCCTGGAAAAGGACGTTGCCAGGATGTTGCGTGGATTGTCAAGGCGTTCAAGTGTTTCCCTTCGTCGTTATCTTATCAACTCTTTCCGGGGTTCGAGTTCAACTCGGTCTCTCTGGACTTGCATTCAGGACACTGTCTTCAACAACACCTCCATCCTGAGCACAGCAAAGACCGCTTCTATCCAGTGAGAACAGGAGGTGAAACTCAGGCACACCTGGTCCACCAGTCTAGGCGACATGTAAAACCATGCAAGTATCCAATACTTATTAAACAGAATCCCCAAAACAAAACCATCTTGAAGCTCATGTGAGACCTGTCAAGCCATTAACAATCCTCAAAACCTCATTCACAAATCCATGAGACATCTCACCTAAAGCAGCTGGAAATACTCAAAGAGTTATGTAACATCCACCCTTCATCTGCTCATCTGCTCAGCACCTCCGACTCTCCGAACGGTACCCGGCAGTTCGGGGCCGAACGGGCCGCTCATAAGCGAACTCGCTCGCAGCTAGCGTCGGAGGAGGATCGTCACCACCAGCAGCTTTGGCGATGTCGGTGAGTTCCATCTCCAACCAGGCTTTGCCTGTGAGACCCAGGAAAGCACACGTCCAGACGTCGGGGCGGTATCAACGCTTCACACCCCGGCATCACGCGAAACTGAAAGGGACTGCCCCAAAAACACGGGAGTCCGAGTCAGTCATGGCAGCTTTCACACCGCTCTGAATGATTCAGTTGCCAAAAATGCAGCATGCATGTTTAAGCGTCCAAGGACGCTGTATACCGCGCCTTGGAGGCGTTCATGGATACGTTGGACCTCAGTTCGACACGAGGCGTTCAAGGCGGAGGCGACACGAGGCGCGCGAGTGCGGTGGAGGCCATCGCTGTTAGGCTGGAGGCCATTACTAGTAACGAGAAGCTACTAGGAGCAAAGGGCATCGCTACGAACGGAGCAAGAACGCTACGAACGGGGCTCCTGGCTAGTACTACTAGTAACAATGTTCGCTACAAACGGAACGACAAGCTGTTAAACGATGGAGGGGCCATTCGCTCGGTCGAAGCCCCCGGCCGTGCCCGAGTGTTGCCCCAGCAGGTCTCGACGATCGCCCAAGTCCACATCAGTGACATCCTCGGTAGAGCTTCACTCGGTGGCTTCAAGAAGAACACCCCACCGCCATCGGCATCCATGGGGAGAATGCTGGAAAGAACATCATAGTAGGTTAGACATGGTTAGACTCTGGCATGCAAGGAAGCTTAAAAGAAGCCAAGTAGCACCCAATATAAAGAGATGAACACGGTTTTTCAGCGTCCAATCATCCAAAGAATGTACTTGATCTATAGATCAAAAGAAGTTCTTCGTGCGGCAACCTCTTGCAGCATAGTGGCGATATACAACTGTTGATTTTGGTGAAACAAAGGCCTCGGTGGGGTGAAAAGGAAAACGCAATGCTTCACCACAAGACGAGATTAGTGATCCGCGCAACATCATGGTTCGAAAAGGGCTAGCAGCTAGCACAAAAAGAAAGTCAGGAAAGAGACGAGTGTCCAAATGCATGAAGTGTTTTACCTTAAAGCCTTATGCTGATTGGCTTGCCAAACCATGCCAAACCATGCTGATTGGATTGCGTCCTCACTTGCCCATCACTTCTGTTTGCCTCTCCAAGCGACAGGAAGCCACATTCCGGTGGATCCCAAACCGGATGGCTCGTGTTCGTGTGGTACCTTGGCAGCCAAGACTGCGCGAAGAAGGAGAAGCAAGAGGTAGTTAACTTAGTTAACTGTCAAAATTGGAAGTGATAAGTTCAGGAACCCAAATATGTTGAAGGAGTTCCATAGTTTGACGGGCTTTGGAGTGTCAAAATCGTAGTTCACAGAGTAATTCCTTGTGAATGATCAATGACTCTACAAAATGGCAACAAGAAAATTGATCAGGATGAAGAAAAAACTCCAAACTACTCGCTTCAGCTCCAAACAAACCACGCGTCGCGCACGCGCGCGTCGCTCCTCGAGCGGCTCAGCCAAGGTTCGATGTAATGAAGGACGTGCCGCCCAGTTTGATGGTCACGGAGGGATCCTTCGCAGCGACGCGACGTCGCCGGGCGACGCGACGCAGCCGGTGGTCACCAACCAGATTTTTTGTCACGCATGAGTGAGTGAAAACACCGGTTCCAGCGGTCAAAGCGGAGTGGTCTGAGTGGCAGGCAGAAGTTTCTTTGCTGAACAAAGACCAGTCTCCACCTAGCAACGGTAAACGAAGTGGAGTCTCGCAGAATGATCACAAAGTCATGATGAAAAGTTTTGGCTCTCCGAAAGACCACATACTGAGAGCGGTGCCGAAAACACCTCGCGCTTGGTAGACCGTCACGAGCACATACCCGAAAGGAGGTGGTGTAGCAATCCTGCAAGTCGTCACATGATGCTGTTTGAGTTTGGCTCAGCAGAGTGGCTCAGCAGAGATCTTGGGCCTTGGGGATTTAAATGTCCAATTTGTGTTTGCGATGTCAAATATCTAACAACCAACAACAAATTTCTGAGAGCTTGGGATTCTTTCCGGACCCATCTACTGGTGCACTACAACTACAACTACAACTACAACTACCACTACCACTACCACCGCCTACCAAAACCCCTCTTGTCAGCCTTTGCCACGTTCGCCCGCCACACATGAGACCACTCTTCCAACCGAGGCGCGGTAGCAAGTTCACCGGTGGGATGGGTGCGATTGGCACGTAGATTCCACCTGGATGGCTTTTGGGCTTCAAACGATCAGAGCTCGGGGCGCTGCGACTCACTCGGACGGCCCATGGGAAGCTCTGAAGAAAATGGCTGACATGTAACACATGATTGGCATTGTTTCACTCATCCTGATGTGCTGGCAAGCTGGGTCCTTACGCAGCAGTGCCTGGAATGTCTTACGAGCAGGAAGGTGAACCTGAGGGCTGCCCCCTCTGCAACACGACAACTGCCGCAAGACTGAATTGAATTAATCTATCAGTGCCTCAAAGCACTGAATCAGAGATTCCCAGCTGGACGGCTGTGAACATGAGGTCTGCAATGCAATCCTCTTCGACACGGAGCCATCCATGCCCCCCAAAAAAAGGCGGAAACTTCTGGAGCATCTTCTGCTGGAGCCATCCATGCCCCTGCCTCTCGTGGCTCCCTCGTCTTAGAAGCACTTGCGATGGACGATGGTCGGTCCAGACTCATCATACTCGCCCTTAGAGATCCACATCTGCTGGAAGGTGCTCAAAGAACTCAAGATCGAACCCCCAATCCAAACGCTGTACTTTCTCTCCGGTGGAGCGACCACCTTGATCTTCATGGTGGAAGGCGCCAAGGCGGTGAGCTCCTTGGTCATGCGTTCACCGATCCCTTGGAACATGGTGGTGCCACCGGAGAGGACCACGTTGGCATACAAGTCCTTGCGGATATCCACGTCACCTTCGAAGAAATGGAGAAAAGACATGAAAAGCAACAGCACCCTTGGGGTCAGGGGTGGACTTGGGATCCTTGAACTAGCCTTGGAAACAGGCGGTATCGTTCTTGTAGTAAAACTGTTGGATCACTGTCCCACAAGCCTTGAGCTGGGTAAGAAGTGCTTACCCCATGCCCAGTCTGCTAAAAGTATCCCAAAAAAGTCTAAAAAATGACTCAACAATTCAAGTCCTGGCATTTGTCTAAGATGCCTGACAAAAACCCTTCAGCCCCTAGCTACCCGTAGCCCGTAGCCATCTTTAAAGAAATATCCTCGGTAGTCTTGGCCCTTCTTGAACCCTTCTTGATGGTTTTCACATGTTGAAACACCCCATCGAACTTGGCTAAAGATCTTTCCAATCTCCTCTCCAGGCAACATTTCATGATGGACTGGAAGGTGGTGTCATGAATGCCACTCGCCTCCTTGCCCACAAAGCTGGGCTGGAAGAGGACTTCAGGGCAGCGGAAGCGCTCAGACCCCACGGTAATGATGTTGCCATCTGGGAGTTCGTAGGTCTTTTCCTGGAAGCATGGCGCCAGTGATCAAGGCTTGGTTTCGGTGGCCCATGTAGGGCAACTGCACATCAAACCGAAGCGAAGCGAGGCTTCCCAAGGTTTAGCTTAGTGGCTACCCGAAGTGAACATGAACCGTGTTGACCCAAGAACTTGTGCAACATCAACTTGTTGTGACGGCCACGACGATCGAAAACACCCTGTGACACGGATTGCCGGGCTGCTCTCCTTGTCACTGCTCTCAGACGCAGCCTTCATTTCACTGTCAAAGTCCAAGGCGATGTAGCAAAGCTTCTCCTTGACGTCGCGCACAATCTCACGCTCGGCGGTTGTGGTGAAGGAGTAGCCGCGCTCAGTGAGGATCTTCATCATGTACTCCGTCAGGTCCCGCCCCGCCAAATCCAAACGCAAGATGGCGTGCGGCAAGGCGTAGCCCTCATAGATAGGCACTGTGTGGCTCACACCATCACCACTGTCCATCACAATTCCAGTCGTGCGGCCAGACGCGTAGAGGGAGAGGACGGCCTGGATCGCCACATACATGGCCGGGACGTTGAAGGTCTCAAACATGATTTGGGTCATGCGTTCACGATTGGCCTTGGGATTCAAAGGCGCTTCCGTCAACAGGACGGGATGCTCCTCTGGGGCAACTCGCAGCTCGTTGTAGAAGGTGTGATGCCAAATCTTTTCCATGTCGTCCCAATTGGTGACGATGCCATGCTCAATGGGATACTTCAAGGTGAGAACGCCTCGCTTGCTCTGCGCCTCATCTCCCACATAGCTGTCCTTCTGGTCCATGCCAACCATAATTCCAGGCATCTTCGGGCGGCCCACAATGGATGGGAAAACTGCTCGGGGAGCATCATCACCTGCAAAACCGGCCTTGCACATGCCGCTTCCGTTGTCCACGACCAAAGCTGCGACCTCCTGAGGATGGAGGATAGAACCAAAAAAAAGGAATGGACCTGACTACCTGGGCAGCAACTTCAGGCCCTTTTGTAATAGGGGGAGCTAACCTCATGGCGATGGCCTCGAATCTACTAGCGGTTACTAGCGATGGCCTCCTAGCAATGGCCTCCAACCTAATATCGCTGGCCTCAAACCTACTAGCGAAGACCAAAATCAAATTTGGGAAGGTGATGAACTTGAGAGGCCAGACTACATGGCTCTATGGCTTGGGAGGACACTTCTTGAGAAGTGTTTCCTACTATATAAAAGGTTTTGCTTGATGAATGGTGAAAGTGATGGGTGAAAGTCGTAAGAAAGCAAAAGGCCAATGAAATTTGCACAAACAATGGGGATCAACAAAAACTACCCGGTTTTCTGCGTGGCAGATTGAAATTTGCATGTACAAACTGCTTTGGACTAGCATTCACAATTTCCACTTGCATGTCGAGTTGGCAGCTCTCCTCGTCACCCATGGCTGTCTGAGTATACTGAAGATACAACAGGAGTCACTAAGCCCAAAGTTGGTAAAGCTTGCCTTGAGCCAAAAATGACCAAATGGTATTGATCTTCCGAATCAAAATACTTTGGCGCATTGCAGAGGTGTCTACAGCTCTCCCAAGTGCGTGTCCCAAAAATGTCATCGCTGAACAAATCAAGGATGCCACATGATCAGGCAGTGAACCCGGGCTGTTGGTCTACCCATGTCTACCCCGGTCACGCTCGCTCTGTGTTCAAGAAACCTACCACCGCCCGGTGGTAGCCACCGGGCCACCTGCCTGGAACCACGAAGGATTGCAGGATCTGCTCCGCCGTGGTCTGTACGGCGGCCACCAGGATGGGGCCCAGTAGCTTACCAGCCTTGGTCAGACTGGTCGAAGCAGCTCACCCAGGTCACCAGGTCTGGTGCGGTGAAAGCGGTTATCTTTGATGGTCTTTGCGATGTACCCGCAAAGGTGGGTGGAAATGACCCACAGAATGTCCACGTGGGAAGCTTCTCTCTTCTACTTCGCGTCTCCGCGTAGACCGCGAAGGATCGTCGACATGCTTCCCGTCCAACGAATCGAAACGTCGGATTCATCGGATTTTTCTCAACGTCACGTCGTCCGACAACATGAAGTGACACGAAGACGGAATGACGATGAAATGACAGTGTCTAAGAAAGACTCCTGAGACTGAGAGGCCTCTTGACTAAGAAGGAATCCTAGAAGACATCCTGAGACTGGTTCCGACTGCATCCCAAAGAATGCAATGTGCAGGTTCGGAAGGTCGAGGAAGTAGATCTTGCCTGCGGAAGGCGGGTCAGAAGGCTGAGGCAAAAGTGGGTGTTCCATATGTATTTCGGCCCAAACCCCTAGCGTCAAAGGTCCACCACCTCTGTGAAGTCAAAACAGGAAGCAGCAAGATGGCTATGTCATCAATCCAGTGAAATGATTCGAAGTGTGAGTGCATCTTCGCCTCCGGCAAAGATCGGCATGCTGTCTATCAGAGGAGCTAGCAGAACGCAAGCGTTGCCGTATAGGCTGAAACTTCTCAAGCCAACCTCAGCTACGAACATAGCCGGCAACTGACGGACATCTTATCACATGGGGTATCAATACTCATATTCTGCCAATCTTAGGACTAGAATGGACTAGATGAAACATAGGGTGATTCACAAATCATCTCGCATTCAACTGCGCTCATCTAATTACTCTCATACAAAAATACATTGGACTCATGGATACAATGATTTGCTCGGTTTTGGAAGTCGGATGTCTGCCATGTCTGCTGCCCGAGCTGCGGAAGTGTTCACCGGCAAGCCGCTGACTCGACCAGAGATCGCGAGCTCAAAGTGGAAATCATCCGCCGCCGACATTTCCAGATTGGTCTCAGACCGCGTGGTGTGCCGCGCTGCACGCCAGGCAGGTGGGTGGCGTGGTTGGTGTTTAGATGTGTTAGTGTGAGAGGCGGTGCCCCCATTTGGCGATGGACGGCACCTGTGGCTTTGGGGTCAGAAAGGGTGCGATGTCAAAAAGAAACCACGTCCAATCGAAGAGTTTTTTCACATAGTTGAACAAAACACGTATGTCTATCTCAATATCTCAAGTACAGCCAAGCGGCCAAAAGCTCAATGCCTGGCTTGTGGCTCGTTGACTTGCACGTCTCATCCCCGGAAGAAAATCCGTCTCAGACGGCTACTGACTTTCGCCAAGAGATGATGATATAAACGACATTCTCAGACTCAATCGTTGTTTGTTGTTCCTCATTCATAATATTCACATCATATCAAAACAAATCTAAGCATGATGATGAATCCAAAGTATCTGACGTATCTAGGACGCAGTGTATAATTCAACGAATACAGGAATATAGACATATAGAAACTATCATCCCGCCGCACGGGTTCATGCTTCTTCATGTTCGACATCCCTTTCGGTGGTGGCCTTCTTGACTTCCGACACCGGTATGTGTGGCCACGATGTTCTTCAACACAGGTGGCGAAGATCCTGTGGCCAGGTGTTGCAATGATGGCAGAGATTTTGGGCGAGTGCAAAAGCCGTGCCATCCCAGAAACTGATCCTTCGAAACCCTGTGGGCGCTTCTCCGTGGCGATCTGCGAAACGGGTGTCCGGACGCGTTTTCGGCATCTCCGTTTCGAAACCACAAGTCCCAGGCCGATGTCGAAGTGCGTCTTCAGACTGATGTCGATATTGAAGCCTCAAATGTGGCTTCCACCAGGTCCGCCGCGGTTCAGCTGTGAATTCTTGATATAGACCCCCCTGTCAATCGAAAAGTAAATCCTTTTCAAAATTGGAAACCCATGTCATACCATTTCTATCTATTTGGGGACCAACCACGAACGCTTCTCCAACCAGGTTTCAACGACCTGCCCCGTCGGTGAACAGATCCACGCTGCTGACATCACCGTTGCTTCACGTGGCTTCAAAGCTAAAAGCAAAGTGTTAAAGAAATCCTCTGCCCCCAGTCATGCTGAACACCTAATTGCTCAAAACCTCGAACTGTACTCCATGTTCAACTCCACTTTGAAGGCAATTCTCCGTCTCGAACACCTAAATTTCCCAAATCCAATCAAACCGAAATCCATCCACCCAGCAAGTGCACCTGTCTCCCTCCTTCCCCCGCCGGGCCGCCGCGAAGGTTCCGCTGCCGGATCGCTGCTTTGACCTCCTGCGAAACCTGGACCGGTCGGGGGTTCGGAGGAGGTTTCGGGGGATGGATAAATGAGATGAGGTCATGTCATTGAAAATGGCTAGTATAGGCTATAGGTGGATGATGGTGGATGTATTGTCTTGAAATCCCGGCCCAAAGATTGGGTGTGAACTTGTGAACTGTTTGGCTCAAGGATGCTCAAAGGATGTCTGTCAGGTTTTCGGGTCAGAGGGAAGTTGAGATCTGGTTGCTCATGTGACATGAGCAGCCCATACAGAAGTAATACCTCAACCCCCACTTCCCAGCTCAATCCGGTTCCTTTCCAGTTCCTTTCCGGACGGCCGAGAACGGAGCAGCCAAGGGGCAATCTTGATGGCCAAATCGTTGAGGGCGGTGCGAGTGTGCGACCAGGTGCTGTGTAAAATGTAATTCACCCATCCTTACGTGCAGAAAAGTGGAGGTCAGCCATGGCTGGCCTCTACTGGAGCCCCACATTTTTGCCGCACGGTGGCAGTAGAGTTCGAGCATCATGGGTTACATAGCTTACATCATTGATCTGGGAGTGGAGCCAGTTTGATGATTTCTTAAGAAGGGGTGATTGAAACTGTAGCATGCCAAACTCCTCCTCTCCATGGGCGGAACATATCAAAGAAAAAAGAAAAACGGTGCTTCTATGCCTTGGTTTGTTGAATGATATTGAATGCTATTTTGCCTTCCACTGGAACTTCCATGGAACCAGCTCAACCTGATGATAGATCCACACGGGAGTCGAATTTCCCAAACACTGTTATTTTTAAGATCCAGCAATCCAAAGTTGGTATTATTGGTGGAGCATGTAGAGACTTGTTTGTTATACTATGTTATACTTATTATTTCTTAATCGACACAAACAAGCCCAACAAGCACAGGGTTGTCTCCTATCCTCTCCTTCTTGTGGCGTTCAAAGAACAACCTATAGGATCCTATAGGATCAACAAGGGACATTTCGCTTGGGACCGCCCCCTTGCATCGACGCCTGTGACATCCATCAACATCGGTCGCACATTCCGAGCCGCCGAGGCTGTCCTTCTGATCCTCGTGCGAGCTGTTGATGAGAGCCTCGGTGAAGGTCCGCGATCGGATCGGACCAGAAAGGGCCCCGCGACGCTTGCGCGCCTACGTCGAGTCGCGGAAGGCGGAAGGTGTTCAAACACGCGTCGCGGAAGGAGTAGTCGTGGCAGTTTCGAAGGGGTGAACATGTGTGAAGTGTCCAAACGTGCATGTAAGGCACTTGTTACTAGTAGCTTCTTGTTACTACTAGTAAGGCACTTGTTACTAGTAGCTTCTTGTTACT